TTAGATGGGCGATATTTTTGCAGGCTTATGATTTTGACTTAGAGCACCGGCCTGGGAAAGCGATTGGGCATGCGGATGCCCTCAGCCGGTGCCCGGTGCCGGACATTGGCGCAGACCCTGCCCCCGCCTGTGAGGTCTTGGCAATTGAGGAGCTTCCTCGACCCCCGGTATCATCCAGGGACATTGCAGCACACACGGCCAAGGATAGCGTGCTGTCCCGAGTATTAAACTGGGTTTGGAGGGGGTGGCCGGTTGGAAGCGTTGAACCGGAGTTCGGCCCTTACAAAAGCCGTCAAAATGAACTATCCATTTCTAAGGGCTGTGTATTATGGGGGAACAGGGTGGTGGTTCCTGACAAACTCAGGACGAGAGTGTTAGAGTCGCTGCACGAGGGTCACCCCGGTATGGTACACACCAAAGCGTTGGCCAGAGGGTATGTCTGGTGGCCGGGGCTGGACAAAGAGATCGAAGAATGGGTACGAGGGTGTCCCAAATGCCAGCAAGTCAGACCCGATCCCCCACAAGCTACACCCCAAGGCTGGGAGTCATCTGGTAAACCCTGGGCCAGATTGCATATAGATTTTGCTGGCCCTCTCCAAGGGCAAATGTTCCTAATTGTGGTGGACGCTATGTCCAAATGGCTGGAGGTCGTGCATATGAAATCGACCACATCACTTGCTGTGATCCATGCGCTCCGCCGACTTTTTGCCACCCACGGGTTGCCTGACGTCATCGTCAGTGACAACGGGCCTCAATTTGTGTCTGAGGAATTTAGGCTCTTCCTCACGAGTAATGGCATACGCCAAATGACTTCGGCCCCTTTCCATCCGGCATCTAATGGCCAAGCCGAACGGATGGTCAGGACGGCCAAAGAGGCCCTGGGTAAAATGGACGAAGGGGACTGGAGCCAGAGGCTGGGCTCCTTTCTTTTGCTGCAGCACACCACCCCCTGTAGTGCTACAGGCCGTAGTCCGGCCGAATTGTTAATGGGGCGGAGACTCACGACCCGTTTGAACCGTATGCACCCAGACTTATCAGAAGATCAGTCCGAGCGTACCACTGCGCAACCGAAGGTGCGCATGTTTGAAAAAGGGGACAAGGTTTTCGCACGAAATTATGCAAACGGGCACTTGTGGCTTCCTGGGGTTATATCCGACTCTGTGGGTACTCGAATGTATGTGGTGCAGTTAGCTGACGGTCGAATATGGCGGCGCCACATAGATCAGTTAAGGAGACGTTGGGCTAGGGACAGCGCTGACTCTCCGACGGCTGAATCCCCTGATGTCGAGTGGACACCCCCAGAGCAGGCGGTGAGTACCGAAAGGCCCGGTACTGTCCCCGAGTCAGGGCAGAACCCTGTGTGCGGGGCTGAAATCCCAGTCGAGTCTGTGCCTGAACCAAGCTGTAGTGAACCCCACTCTGACCCACAACCTTGTATGCCCATGGAGCCTGCACCGCTCCGCAGGTCCCAGCGTTCGCGGCAAATGCCGACTTATCTGAAGGACTATGAGTGTAATTAATGTTGGAATAACTGATGTACAATGGTTTGACCTAACTGTATGTAAATAATAAACAAGGGTATGTTGTCTTAACTTAGGGGGGAGGAATTGTAATGTATTGAAACGTTTACATGAATCACCTCATAGGACTCCCATGTTAAGCTTCGAGCCAAACCAGGGCTCCACTGAACGAACTTCCTATTGGTCGCTCTGCAACAGCGACCAATCAGAACTGTGCCTTGTCCCTGCGAGGGAAAGACTTCCATTGGCTCTTAAACTAGCAATCTCATTGGTTGTTATTTGTAAATAGGCGTGGCTACATTAGCCCGGTTATGTTTAAAAGGAGCATAGCTCCCACTGTTTGCTGTTCTGGTTTCTTACTGAGTTGAGTGCTTGTTCGTTACTTCCAATAAAGCTGAATCACTTGCTGAATCACTCTAAGAGTCCTTTGTTAGCGCGATCTAACAGGGAACGTCTTCCACTGACTGCCCACATAAACAGATACCGTATTTTTCGCTCCATAAGACGCACTTTTTCTCAAAAAAAAAAGGGGGGAAAGTGTGTGCATCTTATGGAGCGAAGTGCGCTGAGTGTGTGCAGGCGGGTGTGTGTGTGTGTGTGTGGAAAGCTCCCGGCTCCCTCCTCCTCAGCGCGGCCTTCCAACTCTACGCTTCTGCGTCTAGGCTGGCTGGGCAAGAGAATTAAGTCGGTGCCGAGCCGGCAGACCAATTCCTCATCGGACAACTCACTTATTTTCAGCGTTTTGTCCTTGTTTTGTCAGTTCAGGTTCCAGTTTTTACTGGATTTGGGCAGACTCCGCTGATCAGGTTTCTCCGGTCTTAAAAAACGCACCCGATTGGGACTGGAGTCTCTGTTGTGGGGAGGGGGAAGGGAAAGGAGTTTGTAAGCTGCTCTGAGACTACTTTGGAAAGTGAAGGGCGGGATAGAAATCCAATCTCCTCCTGCAGTGTGTGTGTGTGTGCGCCCGCGCATGCTGAGTGTGTGCAGGGGGGGTGGAAAGCTCCCGGCTCCCTCCTCCTCCCTCCTCCTCCACAGCGCGGCCCTCGACATTCTGCTGCGCTGTCGGGGGAGGCGGCTATGGCCCCTTCCAACTCTACGCTTCTGCGTCTGGGCTGGCTGGGCAAGAGAATTAAGTCGGTGCCGAGCCGGCAGACCAATTCCTCATCGGACAACTCAGGTATTTTCAGCGTTTTGTCCTTGTTTTGTCAGTTCAGGCTCCAGTTTTTACTGGATTTGGGCAGACTCCGCTGATCAGGTTCCTCCGGTCTTCGTGGCCTTTTAAAAAATGCACCCGATTGGGACTGGAGTCTCTGTTGTGGGGAAGGGAGGAGGGGAGGAAGGAGGAGGGGAAGGGAAAGGAGTTTGTAAGCCGCTCTGAGACTCCTTTGGACAGTGAAGGGCGGGGTAGAAATCCAATCTCCTCCTCCTCCTCTTCTTCTGTCGATTCCAGCTTCTGCACTTCAAAGATTTTTTTAAAAAACCTGCAGTTGCTTCTACAGCATCATTTGGACTGTCAGAAAGGCTGTTCTGTGGAGACATTCTTTTTTTAAAAAAATTCCACATTGCTAATGTGTTCAGGGCCCCCTATGAGGTTTGTGTGTGTGTGTGTGTGTGTGTGTGTGTGTGTGTTTGCCACCCAATTGATTTTTCTGGAACACAAGGCCTCCTTTAAAAAGAAAAGGCCTTTCAGTGTAGTAGGATGCCACTTAATCACCGGAGTGCCAAAAATAAACACATTTGCATCAAAAGCGTTAGGTGGCGGGTGCAGATCCCTGAGCCCGGGCTTATTTTCAGCTGGGTGTCTCCGTTGCAAAAATGTCCTCATTCAGTAGCCCTTTGGAGGTGTCTGCATGCGGGGGGGGGGGGCATATTGTGAAAGCATCATTGCTGCACATGGAGCTGCCTTATACTGAATCATACCCTCAGTCCATCAAGGTCAGTATTGTCCACTCAGACTGGCAGCGGCTTGCCAGGGTCTCAGACAGAGGTCTTTCACATCACCTACCTTTAACTGGAGATGCCGGGTCCCATCACCTACTGCCTGGTTCTTTTAGCTGGAGATGCCGGGGATTGGACCTGGGACCTTCTGCATGCCAAGCAGAGTCTCTTCCACTGAGCCACGGCCCCTCCCCATAGTTCTCCAGGGTCTCAGTCTGAGGTCTTTCCCATCACCTACTGCCTGGTTCTTTTAGCTGGAGATGCCGGGGATTGGACCTGGGACCTTCTGCATGCCAAGCAGAGGCTCTGCCACTGAGCCATGGCCCCTCCCCATAGTTCTCCAGGGTCTCAGTCTGAGGTCTTTCCCATCACCTACTGCATGCCAAGCAGAGGCTCTGCCACTGAGCCACGGCCCCTCTCCATGGCTCTCCAGGGTCTCAGGCGGAGGCCTTTCCCATCACCTACTGCCTGGTCCTTTTATCTGGAGATGTCGGGGATCCAGCTTAGAAAAGATTTTTCCTTTGGCTGCTTCTGCTAATAAGTCCTTGATCAATGGCATGGGATAGGCATTAGTTGACGACACTGCATTTAAGCCCCTGTAATCTGTGCAGAGTCTCAGCCCCCCATCCTTTTTCTTCCGGAACAATACCAGTTCCTCTGGTTCAGAATATTTTTTCCCCTGTTTTCCTCCTTTAAAAACTAGGTGCGTCTTGTGGTCAGGTGCGTCTTATGGAGTGAAAAATACGGTACGTTTGGTCTACTGGGGTTTTCTTATAGTGACCAGCTAGGTAAGGGATCTCCTGAGATTATACGAGGTTATGTTGTTTAAGTAAGAGGCTCGAAGTGAAGGTTAGAAGTCACCTTTGTGAACTTTGATGCTGAGAACTTATGCAGTCCACCTATTTAAATAATCATCGTTTGCTGTTGCAGAGATTAACAAATGCATACATTTGTATGTGTCCTTGTTAAATGGAGTAATAAATTAAAATGCAGACAGCAAGGGAAGAGTAACTAGCTTGGGATGAGGTAAATGAAGTACAAATGATGCTCTACTTTTGCACCAGTGCTTCTCTTTTATGCAGGGATATTGAGTAGATTTGCTCAATTCATTCAGACTAGTACCGTGTGCAGTGCTACAGCTGTTCCTGCATGAATGCCAAGATGTTTATAGTGCAGGTTCAGATACTTCAAGCAGCATTAGATTCAGAGCATAAAGCAAATATTCTTATCTTTCCATTATGGGTACTGACCGTTGCTTATCTTCCTGAGAGAGTAGCTGGGGAGCCAAACCTACCTTTCTTATGTCTCACATTTTCTATAGAAAATCGACATCTACTTAGTTTTAATTTTTTTTTCTGTATTCTCTTGGAAGTAACATTGCAAATGTTGAAGGTTCTCCTTTTGGAAACACATTTCCTTTACCTAAACGAATCATGTTTTTTAAATTACCTGATTTATGTGACTTTATGGCAAACAGTATCGTATGTGGTTGTACTAAGTGTTGCTGCGTTCTCATTGACTTTTTGTCTTTCAATTCTTCAGGTCCTTTCTCATAACTTGTGTACCTTGCTGAATGTTCCACATGACCCAGTAGCCCTGGAAGAGCATTTTAGGGATGATGATGAAGGGCCTGTTTCCAATCAGGGTTATATGCCTTATTTAAACAGATTCATCTTGGAGAAGGTACACCTTATCATTTACAGATATATATATATATATATATGCTGTGGTTAGTTAAAATTATATGGTAATTGTAGGCCAAGAAGAAATTATATGTGTCTGGAAGGAGGGAGCAGAATGGTGCGCGCAGCCCGAGCTTTGGCTGCTGTTTCTCTTGAAGCCGTTGTCCGTTTCAGGGACAAGTTGCTTCTCGATTCTAGAATGTAAGCATGGACTTCATTGACGAATCAGGGGGTGATGCTGGTAAACAAGAAGGTACGAATTAAGTTCTTCAGTGTACAAAGCAGTCCTTAAAATGGAGTCCTGCTGCTGCACACATGGACGGAAGGATTTCCACCTGCAGAAGCATGCCTTCCTTGCCTCCTCCTCCTGCCGCATCCTGAAGTGTCCCCAGAAATGCAGCTCTGGGGGATGGAGGACTCCCAGGAATAGCTGGGGGGGGGGAGGTCAAGACATTTTCTGTGAGAGAGGGGAATTGTTAAAAATTGCCTTCTCCCTTGTGCAGGTGGAAATTCTAGTTATAATCCAAACCAGAGCAGGAACCCATTAGCATAATAGGCCACACCCAACAGCAGAAACTCATTAGCCTATTAGGCCACACCCCTGATGGTGCGGCTTATTAGCATACGGAGGTTTTGGCTGTAGTGGGCGTGGCCAACTCTGGAGCCAGCCAAAACTCTGTTCCTGTGCGTTCCTGCCCAAAAATAGCCCTGATCCAACCTATGAATTTATTGCAGGCCTAGAAAAAAGGGTCAGAGACAGGCAGCAACTGCCTTGTAGTCTGATGTTGAAACTTGCAATTACTAATTTGATACTTAAAGAGAAAATGAATATCTTTCTACAAACCCTACTCCCCCCCCCCTCCAATATGCACAGCACAGTTTGGGAAGTGAGGTACAAATGGATTAGTTACCCTCTACTGACACGGAAACTTATTTTTCTCAGAAAAGCTACAGATTATGAGGGGGAAAGCCCAACAACAGCATACTTCCTTGTTCTGTAACATAAATTACAGTTGACTGCAGCAAAGGTTTTAGAAGATCAGGTTTGCGTGCTTCATTTAATTTTATCTGTGTTGTTTGACTAATGTCTGGCTGTTGTGAAGCACAGTGGTGAACTTGATGAGTACAGCCAGTTTGGAGGCCTTAGCTACCTTTGATTTCCTATCTTAGATGTCAAGAGAAGAGAAGTGATAGCGTCACTTCACACCTCCTCCCCTTCTCCCACACACATAGTGTCAGCTGATAATACTGTCTCTCAGGCAGTGAACATCATGGGAAATAAATGGGTTTCCCCCTTGCTAAAAGGTTATTGAAGGTATAAAGTTGCCACCTGGGGTTGCCAAGTCCCCCCGGTGGGCGGGGATTCCCCCGCCGAAAGGGCCCTCAGTCCGCCAGTCTGGATCCGGCTGGCAGGGGGACCCCCACCCCCAAAGTGGCCAGATCAGGCCGATGTGCCCAGCGCGATGACGTCGCCCGGAAGTGACGTAATCAAGCTGGGCACGTTGCAGGGCGATGCTCTAGCAATTGCCCTGAAAACTTGATGGTACCATAGAGTTTTCAGGGCGATTGCTAGAGCGTTGCCCTGCGACATGCCCAGTGTGATGACGCCACTTCTGGGCGACGTAATTGTGGAGCGCGTGTGCGAAACTCCAAGACTGGGACCATGTCCCCCCCTGCTATTGCAGGTAAGAGACTTGGCAACCCTATTGCCACCTTTTTAGCCAGGTCACTGTTCCATTTAGCTCAGTATTTTCTGCTTTGCTGCCTGAGATCCTATAGTTAAAAATTAGTTGTGATTGCCAGGGACTAATTCTGGGACATTCTGTGTACGAAGAATATACTCCACTACCAAGCTATGTCCTCTCCCCATCAATTTTTCTTCTCAAGTCTCAGGAGAAAATCTTTCGCAGCCTTGCTAATGATGCCCTCTTATTAACTAGAGATGCTGAGGATGAACCTGCAACCTTCTACATGCAAGGCACGTGTGCTCCTTCACCATGTCCTCTCCTCATTGATTAGTGTGCACAGACCTCTTTCTGTACATGAGCTACTTGGTGCCTTGGGCACTTGTCTGTTAGTGGGACTGCTTGCATGCCAGTAATTTTAATCCCTTTGTGGGTTAACATTTTAATTATTTTCATTGCATTGAGTGGACAGGAGTCAGCATTTCTCAAACACTGAAAGGGGACCATTTGTATAACAGATTTAAGTAACAAAGGCCCTGGTCACACGGGCCGGATATTGGGGGGGGAGGCGTGGCTAATTGCCTCGGTGCAGTTTGATCCGCGATTACGTGATCAGACGCGCCGGCGGCACACCACGGGTCCTTCCCTCGGCGCCAGCGGGTAAACGAGGGACCGGAGGGGAATGCCGCGCACTGGTGCAATCACACCATGGGCGTCTGGAGGCAGCTGTGGCAAACGTTTACTAGTACCTTGGAGGTACTAGTTTTTTTAACACGCATTGTCGGCGGCAAGCCATGGGTGCGCTCCACTTCCCAGATGTTGGGGTTTGATCACGCCCGGATAATCCGCTCACCATCCGTGCCTCTCCCGTGGCAACTTTGCCGTGTGACTGGGGCCCTTGACTTAGAGATATTTTTTATTGCTGCTTGTTTTGGTTCAAGACTAGAAACTTTTCCTGCCAGTGTTCAATGCATTGTTTTATTTTCAATCTGGGAGTAATTTATGAAAAGGGCACGAGTTGTTTTCCTGTGAGTAATAGTGACAATCTGTGCAAGAAAACAATGCGCTCTTGGCTCAACAGGAAATCTCTTATCCTGCTTCATTTCTTCTATGTAAATCTCATTGCCCAAACCGGTCAAGCTTTTGAAATAGTTCCTCTTGTGCTCCTGATTGCAAATGAATTATTTATCTAGCACAGAGGGAGAGTGAGTTGCCCTACCACAGAGTCTACATTGATGAACGGAAAGAGCATGGAAACATGCCCAGGCTGGCAGCTTGGCTAAGGAAACGAAGAGCTGCAAGCTTCTCCTTCAATGAAGAATGGATTTTGTATTGCTAATACCCTTAATTAAAAATAAGTTGTCATACATCAAAAACTGTCCTAAAGTCTCGTGGTTTTATTACTGTTTGAAGGACCATGCACAAGACTGAGTTAGAGACTTTCCAGAAATGAATACAGCCTGGTACTGGGAGCGCAAGGGGATATAGCAGCAGTGGGATGTAGCAAGGGATGCAGATTATCAGCAACTTTGCACAGCTTGCTTTTTATACTTGAAGGATCATTCTCCTGCAGGCATAATGAAGTCAGGGAGGGCTGTGTATGAAACCTGAAAGGTCAGCCTTTGCAGGTACTTTTTTCAGCCATTTGTGTTGAACACAGAGCAGTGCTGAACTGGCTACATGCATGGTTTATTACCTTCTTCTTGTAGTCTTAAAGCTCTAGTAGCATTTTAAGTTTAGAAGTGAGTGATTGCTGTGAGCAGGGCTATTTTGGGGCAGGAACGCACAGGAACGGAGTTCTGGCTGGCTCCCAAGTTGGCCACACCCAGCAGGAACTCATTAGCAGAACAGGCCACACCCAGCAGTAGAAACTCATTAGAATTGGCTACATTAGGGATGTGTGGTCTAACATGCAAAGGAGTTCCTGCAACAAAAAAGCCCTGGTTTTGACAACAAACAAGGGAAACAGAATAAGAAGCAAAAGGTGGGCGTGGCTGGATGACCACACTTCTGGTAACATGGGGGTGTGGCCTAATAGGCTAATGAGCTGTGCTGTCAGGGGTGTGGCCTAATATGCTAATGAGTTTCTGCTCTTGGGTGTGGCCTATTATGCTAATGAGTTCCTGCTGGACTTTTTCTACCAAAAAAGCCCTGGCTGTGAGGTTTGTCACTCAAGTGCTCACAAAGCAGCAATTGTTACTTACAGTGGGGTGAGGAGATGAGTGTCAAAGGTGTAGGGTCTTGGTGCTACAACTTGGAATATCTTCTCTAGGGAGGCCTGTTAAGTGCACTGACTCTTTCGCTTTAGGTTTCTTGTGAAAACTGTTCTGTCTCTACAGATTTATCCCTGCTGCTTTTACCAGTATTTCATATTGTGTGTCTTTTAGCTGCCTAAATTGTTTTTCTTTGTCTAGGTTCAGGGAAACTTTGACAAAGTTGAATTTAATAAAATGTGTTGGACTCTGTGTGCAAAGAAGAACCTCCCAAAGAGTACTTTGCTTCTTACTGATGATGATGCTTTTAAAGTGTGGGTCATCTTCAATTTCCTGTCTGAGGACAAATATCCACTAACGATTGTACCTGAGGAGGTAAGCAGTTGAAGTTTTGAGCATCCAAAGATTCTTCTTCTAGCCTTGTCTAGAATGCCTGTATTTTTCCTGTCTTTTACTTTCTTTTTAAGTTGGCTGTGGAAGTAATCCTCACTAGCCATAGTGTTGGGGCCCTTGCAGCTCTGTTGACAAGTAGAGGCAGTGATCCAGCACAGTAGTTAAGGTCATGTAAGGCGGTGTGAAATAGCCTGGAAGGGGTCCCCCCCCCCCCTTTGAATACCTGGCCTTGTGTCCCATTCACAATCTGAATTGAGTTTTAAAAGCAGTTTGTCAGGCTACATGGAGCTGCTTTTCTAGCAAGAACAACTTCCTTGGGTGTGTGATACTCATTTCATGGCTCTTCAGTTCCTGGTCATTGTATACACCTGAGTGAGTTAAAAGTTTTAGTTTGTTGCAGTAAAAACAGGAAGGAGTCTTGTGGTACTTTAAAGGCTGTTTGAATCATAAGCTTTTGAAGGCTAGAACCTGTAACAGAAGAGAAGATAATATCCCTTGCAGCAATACATTATCTGGTGTACGAGATGAGAGACAGTTTAAGGTGGGGGTGTCGAACTCATGAGGGCCGGATCTGACACTCCGTCATGCGGCAACCCGGGTCTCGAACTGCTGAACTACAGACCTTCCACAGCCTGCAGTTCAGCGGCTTAACCACTTGAGCCACCGCAGCTCCAGGACATTTTATTAAATCCATTTCAACTATCAAGAGTATTTCATGTCTTTCACTGTATGAATTCAGCAGTATGCTCAAATTGTGTATTTATGTTATGGTAAATTCTAAAATGTTGAGCAGTAATTCATATGATTTTAGGAGGGCCAGTGGGAAACATAAGAAATAGTTGTGTCCTAAGACTTGTTTTCAGCATTTGCATCTGGCAGAGGTGGCAGTGGGGCAGTCCGTTGGCCCTCGCACTTAATGGTAAAAATAATTTTTAAAAATTCTGACCTTTCACTTTGAGCTTCTTAAAAGTATTCACCAGCAGATATCAGTATTTTCCCATACCTCTTGTTTTTGTTTGTGGGTCTGATACTTACTTTGCCAACTAAACAATAAGGACATTGGGTCATTTGTGCACAGTAAGACAGTGTGGACCTGGAAGCATTGGTGCCCTAAGGCTGAAGCTAGCTTTCAAATAATTTTATAATTATAAATTTATGATTTTATAAACAGGGCACGGATGTTGCACAAGCATTCTTGAAGGAGCATTTTGGATAGTTGATTAGAATCCTAATACAGGAATGAGCCTGATGGTTGTTTGCTTAATGTGCATGTTATCTGTCTCCCTACAGATTGAATACCTGCTTAAAAAGCTTGCAGAAGCTATGGGATCAGGGTGGCACCAAGAACAGTTTGAACATTATAAGATCAGCCTGGATGCCAATCGGGAAGGCCTTTCTGCCTGGGAATTGATTGAGCTCATTGGAAGTGGTCAGTTTAGTAAAGGGATGGATAGACAAACAGTATCTATGGCAATTAATGAAGTCTTCAATGAACTTATATTAGATGTATTGAAACAGGTATGAGTCTCCTACATGGCTGCTGAAGATTCTAACATAAATACAGTTGTTTGTGCGTAGGACTGTATCTTATCTGTTTTGCTTAAAAATACCTTCAGAATTCTGTACAAAGGCAAATACATTTATACTAAGATAAGCTGAATTCTGCAACCTCCCAATATATAGATTTTCTGAATTGAAAAGCTTTTCTGATATCCTAATGGATTTGTATTTGATTTATATTTAGTAAACAAAACTGAATCATGCAATGTGAATGTTATATGCTGTATGAATATCTCAAAAGTGCTTCCTATAGCCAAAAGTAAAAGGTAAAGGTAAAAGTTCCCTTGCTCGAAAGCCAGTCGAATCCGACCCTGGGGTTGCGGTGCTCATCTCCGTTTCAAAGCCGAAGAGCCAGCGCTGTCCGAAGACGTTTCCGTGGTCATGTGGCCGGCATGACTAAACACCAAGGCGCACGGAACGCCGTTACCTTCCCACTGAAGTGGTACCTATTTATCTACTTGCAATTTCTTGCTTTCGAACCGCTAGTTGAACTGAAATACTTGATTAGGGAAAAGTTCAATAAAGGGCAGTCAGCATGGTATCAGAGTGGATTTGTGTGTGCCTTTGGTGCTTATATATGGCTACAGCACACATACCTAGCACATATGCTTCCTAGGGATTGTTTCCCCCTCCCCCAATAAATTGCAACTTTGAAATTGCCCCATTGGACTGGTATAGAAGGTAGAAGCCAAAACCTTCCTGTCCCACGTTATCTTTTTGTTCGTGATTGTGCTCCTGCAATTCACTCCTGTGATAGTGACCCAGTGCAGATGTTGCATTCCAGTCTTCTAGTCCAAGTCAAGGCACAACTGCTTTTTTAGTTGCATATCTGTTCCCTCCTCTATTTTCTTTTTTTTTTTTAACAAACTTTTTATTTTTGGATATAACAACACATTAAACATTACATCTTTTCATTTAACATATATCCTTTTCTCTTTTCTCCTCCCCCCCTCCCCGTAGCTTTCCCATTTTTTGTCCCACTGTCATTATACATTTTTTCTTTCACATTTTCAAGTAAGAATTCCACACACTTTTTTCTCAGTATTTTCAAATACCAATTCCAGGTAACAATTTTTCCCCATTTCCGACCTTATCTATTATCATTCCCACTCTTAATAACTATCAAAGCAAAGTAAATTATTTTTAACATCCCGGTTTTTCTCAATATACTCCTTAAAATCTGTCCATTCTTCAAAAAATTCTTCATTCTCTTTATTATTGAGCTTCTCCTCCTCTATTTTCTCATTGCATCACAGTTTGCTGTGATATTGGAATTGGGAAAATTATGGTTAGTGCTAATATTGGACAGAAAGTTGGAGAACTGATTTCTTCTCGTTGGCATGGATTTTACATATTGCGGGGGGCATTTGGGGGGGGGGGTCGCGGGGGACGCCATCCCCCCAGGTGAGGTGCGGGAGGGCGGGGCCTGGAGCTCCCTTCTGGTGCCCGCTGGAGGTCGCCGCCGGCTGAGGGGAGGACACACTTCCGGTGATGTCAGGGGGTGTGGCATATGCTAATGAGTTATGCTAATGAGTCCCCCTAGCTCTTTTTCTACGAAATGACCCCTGCATATTGCAGATATGTGCAGTATACAGTGATAGAGGAGTCACTTGTAGAAATTGCCTCTTTTTCATCACTGACTTCTTTCTGTTTAATGTGAGACTGTTTCGGATGAAAAAAATATTTATTTTGTTAGAAACGATGTTGAATTGTACGAAAGCTCCGTCTGTGAACAATGTTTGGTCTCTCTGGCTTTCACACATGCAGCGTCATTTGAATTGCAGTCCTGTGTGAGCTCCCCTTGGGCTTGCCAGAAAAAACAAAGGTCTTGTTTCAGGTGAGAGAAAACATCACAGAAATGCTGTTCCGTCACTTGATGACTAGCTAGACAAGTAATTCTTTTAATAGGGAAGAATGAAACCTGATACGAATTGAAAAACTCATGTTCTTTTCGGCCATTATACAGTTGTCTCTGCTTGCAGCATTGGCACCCCTAAGTCATATATATACAGGAAGAGAAGAACTTTATTTTGCAGATGATTATTTTACAAAAGAGGTTTACCTTTAACCAAGGGTTTTGTTGCTGTTGTTGTTGTTTTTAAAAAGAGGTGCCGGAACGATCGAGAGGGAAACGAAGTTTTCAGTCTGTATACTGAAAACTCATGGACTTTTAAACATTTTAAAAATAATTTTGTCAAAGAGTTTCCGGAACTCCGTTCCAGCACATTCCTCCAGAAAACCCCCCCCCTGCCTTTAACTGGTGTGTAATATAGTGATGATCTTTAATATATGGAATGATCAAAAAATTAGGCAACTGGCAAGTTCTGCAGAATTTCCTATGACTCTCATTGGGTGATGCATACATTCTACAAAGAGTATGCAGTGCTTCTTAAAGTCTACAGCTGCTCAGTTACAACTGGAGGAAGCAGATTTTATTATGACTAGGAACATGCATCTCTGTGGCAGATAAAGAGGAAGCAAAAGTCTTCTCAGGCCCAGGTGCACAAGCGAGGGAGCCTGTTTAAGCAGTGGTTAACTGTACCGTGATCAGAATTGTTAAGCTTTGCTGCACAGTTAACCATTAATAATCAGATGATACATGGGCATTTCCAGAGGGAAATTTAGTTTGTGTGTCATTGAGATGAAATGCCCTTTGGTTAATTCACATGAGAGAGGCCCTTCTAGCAATAAGGTAGAACTGCAGTGTTGGATAGAATCTAGTGGACATCCAAATTCTACTCCTGCTCAAAGATGCAAGATAGGCTGTGCCTAAAGCATCATTCCTAAATCCCAATCCTATGTTTCATAGGTTTATTTATTTATTTTAAAATGTTTATTAATTGCCTTTCTATCTTATGGAACTCAAGGCGTCATATGATGTAAGCAAAACAGTAACCATAAAAATACATAAAAACCACAATTTAAAATCAAAGTTTAAGACAGGCAATAAATAGAAAAACTAAATGCAGCTCTAAATAAAAGCAGTTTCTTCAGTGGCAGTGTTTAGTCTAGCCAGGAAGCTTATTATGTTGTGAATAGAGAGAATGGAATAGACTGGATGGGTGTGGGTTTACTTCCAGAATAAACGAATTGGTCCAGACTTGAAATTCTTCTGCCCAACAGCAAAGGATGCATTGTCAAAGATGGCTATTTGTGTTTTTTTCACAATCCTTGTGTTCCAGATACATAAATTTCCTATGTACATAGTTTTTATGTTTGAGGCTCAGTCTGTACTTGAATATAATGTAATTCAAGTTTACCATTAGTAGCCCATGATGAATAACAGTGGCTTTTCTCGAGCAGGTGAATAACAGAGCAAAGGTGGTGATGATTGGCTATGTCTACAGTAAAGCTTTTTGATGCCAGGGGCTCCAGCCTGAAAGTGCCGTGATGCTGTTGTGCTCTTTCTGTACTTCTGCTGCTTTGCAACAAAAAAATAAAAATAAAAATAAGAAGAGCACCAAAAAGAATCAGCTCCGAGGCAGAAAGACTGACATTCTGCCACTATTAGTTTAAGAAAACTGTTTTAGTCCTGCATTTCCTGGAGTTCATATGTCAGGTTTCAAAGAAGAAAAGCAAACATCTGTCCGAATGCTTCTACTGGTTCTTCAGTTGGATATTAACTGGAAAGGGTTAGCTTCTTAAGGCAAAACATTCCCCTCTCTCACCGACTTGATTGGCTAAGCTTTAAGTGTCTTGTGGACTCAATGTCTTCTCTGATCCCCCTTGGAAACAAGAATTTGAGGGTTACCATCTTAAGAAACAGAAATAATTATTTACTTGCTAAAAGCAATAGTGAGTATGGAGAAGTGAGTATCTAGTTCTGATGAAACTAATAATGTAGCTGCAAAACAGATTAGTTACGAAATGTGAAATGTTGAATATAAATGCACCCCAACCGAAAGAAGGATCACTGTACTTTATAGACAGTTTCAAAAAAATTTTTCAATATAACGAAGGGGCTCTTTTTGTAGCAGGAACTTTTTTGCATGTTAGGCCACACACCCCTAATGTAGCCAATCCTCCAAGAGCTTACAGAGCTCTTCTTACAGGGGCTACTGTAAGCTCTTGGAGGATTGGCTACATTAGGGGTGTGTCGCTTAATATGCAAAGGAGTTCTTGCTACAAAAAGAGCCCTGAAGGGGGAGAAACATTTTCTGTCTTTTATACTTTGTTATATATAATCATCTTTGATACATACAATTATGTTATGCAACCCTTTTTCCTTTCTGTATTTCCTTTGTCGTATCTCTTTGTTTTCTTAAACAAAAGTAATCTAGTGGTAGTGTTGCTAAGGAGCAGGAGGTTAAGGGCAAGCAATAAGAGTATTAATGAAGCACTGGATACGAATAGTGAATAAGGGTTCTTCTTAATATCATTTTAGAAAACGTCAATCATGAGTTTGTATAAATAATCAAATGGCCTATGTTTAAACTTTCATTTTTCTTTCTCTGTGCAATATTATTCTGAATAGCTTAACCCAAACTGGATATACCAAGTAGGTAGGTACTCTTGTCTTTTTAAATGTACAACAGACCAGTTTCAACATTTGCATTCATTATTTGTATCCAGTTGAGGCATGAGCAAGGTAGTGCCAAATTCTTACATGCTGTTTAAAAAATAAAACGATAGAGAAAAGAAGAAAATGTACTCTTCTTGGCATTTTCCCTTTCTAATAATGTGGATGATTCTGTGAAGTTGTTCATATATCTGGGTATTGTCTTGGTGGTTGGGTGACATCTACACAGTTTGCTTGTTGAGTTTCTTTGGCTCCTGTGGACTATACACTCTGAACTGAACTGATTCTAGTTATGTGTCCACTTACATGGCAATAAGGAGACCATAGCATAGTGAGAATGGGCTGTAGTGTCTATGTGACACAGTTTTTGTATGCACTTTTGCATCTCTTTTCTTCTACCTTGCAATCTTTTTCTGAGCTTTCAAAATTGACTATATAATTTAAAACCATAAATGTTGTGTGTTGGACATTCCTAATCAGATGTGCCCAAAGAGTTGTATTGCTGGTGTTTTGTTTTTCCAGTGGATGATGGTTGGCTCTGTAGAACCGAGTGACTATAATACCTTAAGAAAAGTTCAACTGTTTGGACCTGTAGTTTTATTTTGAGGTTGATGCCAGCTGGAGAAGTCGTGCCATAAAATGAAAAGTTGTGTGAAAGCCATATATCTGTTCTCAACCTTTCATTACATATTTGATTTCTTCAAGTTTAGTACAAAACCATGTCTCTTCATGTTCACAAGGTTGTTAACCTAATTAATGTTTTGCCATTTTATTATTTCCAAATTGCATGGGTTATAAATGTCTTCTTTTATACCAAGGAAATTCTAAAACTCCCACACCGGGAGGGAAAATGGAATGACCTTGATGATTTTTCATCTTTTGTGACTTTTCATCTGTTTTAGTCTAAACGCTTATAAAGATGTTAAAGAGCCTGATCCCTGTTCATTGAAATAAATTGAAACACTTTTCATTAACTGTACTTGGATTTGTACTTCAAACTGGAAGCCAGAAATTCTAATGTTAATGTAAATGTAAATGGAAAGGCCTTCAATTGAATCGTTTTATATTTCACAGGGCTATATGTGGAAAAAGGGCCATAGAAGGAAAAACTGGACGGAACGATGGTTTTTGTTAAAACCCAATGTTATTTCATACTATGTGAGTGAAGATTTAAAAGACAAGAGAGGAGACATTGTTCTGGATGACAGCTGTAGCGTAGAGGTAAAATAACAGTGGAACTCTGAAGCAGTAACTGGAATGTTTTCCTAGAGGACAGACAACAGAGAGTACTCCTTCAAAGGAAATAATTGTTTCAACCTATAGGATTATTCCTGTGTTTGTAATCCTCATTAAAAACATAATATAAAATTAGCACTGTGTTCTTATATCCTAATATAGAGAACCATGTGCACGCAGAGAGGATGCAAGATCTCTTGCTTATGCGGGCTGCTCCAGTAATCCCAGTGGAATTTGTAGCACAAAGAAAATGAGCATGCTTTCTCCATGACATCTGTGTGCACACTGTTATTCCAGTGCTTGAAAAAGAAAATGAGTTGGATAGAATGGGTCCTTTTGTGAGTGTTATGTGAAAAGCTGGATTTTTGCATTGCATCAGATTTCTATTAAAAGCAGTTTTGCATAAATTATAAGTTTACAGTAATAAGAACATAACACACTTAAAAAGCAGTTTGTAAAGTGCTCGGTTGATGAAACTATTAAACTAGAGAGAATCCATGATAAGGTAAAATTGGTTATTTTTATGCTTAGAGGAGGCTCCCAGGTAGTAAACGTAGATAAATTGAGAATGGTGTGCATCTGTTTAAAGGTGCTGCTGCTAAAACCCCAAGTTCTTGCCAATCACAATGCTGTTGTTCAGTCAGCAGTAAGTTGCTAGAGTCTGCTTATCTCCACTTCTTATCTTTCTCAGCAGCAGTATTCAGTAGCTAACATTCTTTGCCATATTAGCCTGCCGAGAAAATGTCAATGAGAGAGTGTAAAAGCGCCATTGACCTTGGTTATTGCTCTCAGTAAAACTCCCATCAAGTTCATATCTTTGATTTGAAAACATGTCTTAAGTATCCCAAACCAGAAGAAAGCATTACAATAATAGCTATAAATATATTATCATCCTTTGGAACCCAGTTTTCACCTCTGCCCAGGTTGTGCCTAGAGTAGGTAGCCTTGTCACTCCATTCTAGTTACCCTGTTGTCCTTAGCAGATGTATAATCCCTTTCATTTTTATGAATCAAAGATGCTGAGTAATTTAGGAATAAACAAGTAGTATTGGTAAAGTTGGAGCCTGGGGTTCTCCCAGGATTACAACAGATCTGCAGACGACGGGTATTCCCCTGGAGTAAATGACAGCTTTGCAGGGTGGACTCTACAGCATCACATGCCTCCTAAGCTTTCTCCCCAGCGTCTGCCCCCAAATTTTCAGGTGTTTCCCAGCCTGGAGTTGGTAACCATAAGTACTGGTTGTGTTAAGTAGGGATGGGCATGAGCCAGGAAAATGGAGGCTCATCCTGGTTCGGGGTTTGTGAGGACCCACGAACAAGGATGAACCTCCTCCCCGGCTTTGCAAACCAGTTCAGGTTTGTGAGATTCGTGGATCTTCCTTCCCTCATTTCTGTTGGGGGCAGCTCCTCAAGGCCAGCAGAATGGAAGGGTTTTTTTTTGAGATTTTCCAAAAGCCATTTAAAGGGAACCAAGGTTTGCGAACCATGAACCAGGCCTGGTTTGTGATGAATTTCAGTTTGTAATTCGGTTTGTGCCCATCCCTAGTGTTAACCATATGTCCCTTCAAATATTCTTTGTGGGACTGAAGGTGTTCCTGTGTTATGCTCAGTCCTTGCAATCCTATATCCTTTATCTTCAGCCTTCATATTTGTCTCCTGATTTCCATATTGCTCATGACAGTGACTATAGGAGTGGTGCAGCTTCTACTGCAGAGTTTAAGCTCTTGACATAAGAGGGTCCAGTGTGAAAAAAAATCACTTCCTTTTTGAAAAACACTCACTACAATACCAGTGCATATTGGCACTGAGGTATGGATATGATCTATTATTCTAAGATATGTCTCTGAACAGATAATGTGGAGATCCCAGCATCTGTACCAGGAAATGAAAAAGAGTTTGAAATGTTGAAGTTTTTATTATTAGCTTGTTTGGGGGAATCACCTTATCAGTTAGTGGCTTTAGAGGGGGATGGTGGCGGGGAGATATATATATATATATATATATATATATATTCTTTGTGTGTTGTGCTTTTCTTCATTCCATATTCACATTTGTTGATTTTGAAATACCAAAAGTAACATCTTTGCCAATGTCTCCATCAGTGCTGTGTATTACTGTTTTAATAGGATACTCATTTTCTGTTTTTAGGCCTTGCCTGACAAAGATGGAAAGAAATGTCTCTTCCTTATAAAAAATTTAGAGAAATGTTTTGAAATTAGTGCTTCTGATAAGAAGAAGAAGCAGGAGTGGATTCAAGGTAAGGTTAAAATTTCACTTTGTGAAGCTGCTTCCCACACAGGGACTTTTTCCCCACATGGGGAGAGGGAAGCACCCCCAATTAAAGGGAACGCCCACATGATGTTGTGCTCATTTAGAGCATGACTTGTGGGCTTTCTGAGGCTTTTTGTTTTGAACCAGGTAAAAAATAAGCTAAACTCTGTTTTCAGAATGTCACGGGGCAGCTTGCCTCCTTTCTTTCTTTCTTTCTTTCTTTCTTTCTTTCTTTCTTTCTTTCTTTCTTTCTTTCTTTCTTTCTTTCTTTCTTTCTTTCTTTCTTTCTTTCTTCTCCCC